ATAGATTCAGTAGGGATTGGATGTTTGCTATAATCGTTTTAACAAATGTTTGTAAGGCAAACCTTTACTCGGGTAAAAATCGGGCGAAGCCGGGAACATATATATATGTTTGTCGGCTATGCACGCCCTCAATATGTAACTAATCTCGCTGAAATTTGAACGGGACAGAGAGTTATATCTTGAAGAAGTTTTTTATTGTCGCGCTTTAACCAAGAAAAATGATAATTAACCAAGTACTGAGCAACAATATTTTTTTAGTCAGAAATGATAATGACAATATTGCTGTATCTTGGTTGATTGACATAAACAAAATTCTTTAGGGGAATATTCAATAAAGCAGTCCAAGGGCGAAGCCAGATAATAATTTTTAGTAGGAAGGAACAAAATTCTAACAGCGAAACATTCACTCGAGCAGAAAACACACGAAGCCAGGTCATCTTTATATATGAAATATCGTTTCTCGGCCTTTTGTCTAAGATACTGTAGTATATCTCTAGATATTTTTATTTATATATGGTAATTTAAACCAACAACCCCATATTGTATATAACTTATAACAAGATTTTCATGTTGTATAATAGAAACACATCTGTAAATAATCATACGCATGATTGACATGTGTCATTACATCATTATATGTAATGTACCTTTTACAAACTGAGGATAAATAAATAAAACTCTGTAATAGATTAAGAGTTGAGCTAAAGCAAAAGGTCAAAAACGTCTAAAATCGTGCATATAGCAGTCCCAAAACAACAAAGTCTAAAGATGGAAACTGCCATGGCGCCAGTTTAGAATTTCGCCAGACGATCCACACTCTTCACATCTGCTGAAATGAAATACTCTCTTTCACAGAAAAGATATAAAAGGCCTCCGTCCTAGCCAGAAATTCAGTCACTTCACCATCAGCGTGAGCCCTCGTCGGTTGTCACCAAGTTCTCCTCATTCGCCATTTAGACCAGTAAGAACTCTTCTATCTCCTTCGCTCCTAGCTCAACTTTTATTTGTTCACGGACTTTCCTAGTGCAACTGCGTCTTCGTTTTCTGTGTGAAAATTATCAAGCTTACCACTCTGCCTCAACCACGACTACCTGTACTCTGTGAGAACTGTTAAAGGTTTTACAAGGTGCAGAGAGGTACAAACTCCCCATCCTGAATGTTCCTCGACAGAGTCGACAGGTTCGCACACCATAGATTAAGTCGACTGGATACCTCACCACATTTTTAGTCGACAGGATAACCTAAACGAAGAATGACACAACGAAGACGGTAAGAAGACTGTCCAGATAGAAGCGAGAAAGAGCGAAGATGGAGGGACAAACCGGCCATTCTAACGAAACGACCAAGTAATCTCTCCCTAAAAAAGAATATATTTACGGAAGACACGCCATCCCAAGGGACCTCCGCAGACCCGCTAAGACATCGCCAACGCCAGGAGCAAGCTGTCTGACCACCCCAACGACACAGCCGAAAATTCCGCAAGAAATGGAAACAGAGCAGCGATATGGCGCAAACCCAGTGAGAAGTTCTCTACCTTCGACCTGACATCGCTGAGACAATGCTCAAGGCGATAAGCCGCCATTAACTTTACAGAAGCTACAAGCTTCTACAAGCCCTACATGGAGCGCCTTCAACGTCAGCAGGAAAACAACCAGACACCAAGTTTCCTGACTGAACAATCATCACACAATTGCAAGTTTTTAAAAACCTACCTTTACATTATTCTCAAGTTCATAACTTGATTCCCTATAAATTTTGTAATTATATTTTCACCCAAAGCATTTTAAAATCAATTTTTACCTTTTAAAAATCATTTTTTAATCAATTTTTAAAACTTTCACATTCTCATATATCAAATTTACTTTAATTTTTAATCAAATTATAAATTTTAATTCATTACTTTTAATTTTTCATGCAAAACAAAAAAAAATCCTTCATTACGCATTTTTACTAATTTAATAATCTTACATGCCTTTCCTAAATTTACCTATAACGGCATTATCCAAATCTACAACTTATATATTAGAATAAAAATCGTATCTAATCATAATTCTAAACTTATTTTTGTTTTTATTAATATTTTATCTTTATACCAAACACCCAGTTCTCAATCAAATACTTAACATTTTGAAAAAATCATTGTCATATTCACCATACACTAAATGCTTCAATTCAAAATATTCTTGTCACTATCACGACATTGCCCGTTTAAAAGAATCATTTTATCTACCAAAATCAACGATTTAAAAAATATATTCAAAATTTTAAATATAAATCAACATAGTTGAAACGCATTTTTTATTTCAGAAATATTTTGTGATTTCTCTCCTGAGAGACGATATCTTCAAAACCACAACTTGTAAAAACAACTATCTTTCCCAAAACAATTTTAAAATAAAAATCCCATCAACTACCACGCCAGTACCTAAATTAAGTCACAGCCTTCCAAAACTATTACAATCGTTAAATTTCAACATCGCTACACTCACTCATCTCTTCCTTTTACATGAATAATTAATCATTAACAAATCTCTCTCAACAAACGTTACAACACCCTCACATCACTATCTCCAATTGGCAATATTTATTAACGTGACACCTTTCCAAATCACTTATCACTTCGTGTCACAGCGCCACAGCACAAAACCTTTTCACTTTTCAGGCCAAAAACGCCTTCAGGCCTGTGACACATCTCCCCAAAGCGTGTCCACGTCGAAAGTCGCACTTTCACCACACATTTAATCCTGACATCACTGCATAACATTTTTACTCAGTCTAAACTAACTTCGAAACACAACAACTAGGAACACCGATAAAATCATAACTTTCAATTATAACAGTAATATGCCAACCTCAACAAAAGAAGAGAGAGAAAATCAGTTCCAAGTGAATGACAAATTTAACATACATCCCACACGAGTGACCATACCAGAAATAGAACCCCCGACGATACCGAGTAAGATAGAATAGGGACGCCCTTCAGGCGTCACTCCTCCAAGCCAAATCTATTTCAGTTACATGTCGCCGCTCAAGGCAGATGTTAATGACCGCTATCTTCATGATTGCCATTTTTTTCAAAACAGGTTTCACCCTAACCATTTAAGTTTTCTCACAAATCTCACCAACGCCTTAATCACAACACAACATACATTAAACATTTTACATGTTAATTGATATCACCAATTAAAACAATTTGTTAAGTATTATATAGACTTTATGACGCAAAAGAGAAATCATTCTCTACATATCACCATTTTGGACAAATGAAATTTTTATTCCCAGCTTCAGAGAGTCATAGAAACACCGATGTTTACCAAAGGGATATGATATAGTTACACACCACAGTTGTAACTTTTCTTCAAAAGAGACAATTTTTGTTCAATTTTCCACTACCCATCATTTATCCAATCATTAATAACCTTTAATTACATTCAAATTTTAATATAAAACCTTCAAATTTTAATTATTTATTTTTTACCTTTTAATTATTTAATCAAATTTTTAATCCAACATGATTTTCAAAAAAAAAACTTTATTCAAATTTACTTTTTTTTCTTCATGATATTATTTTAGTATTGCAAAACATTTAATTGTTTCAAAAATCATTTTTATATCAATTATTATTATCTATATATATAAAATTGAATGTCTGTCTGTCTGTTTGTCTGTCTGTACTCTATAGATTCAAAAACCATACATCCAATCGCCGTGAAATTTTCGGATATTATCACCTATATCCCCGGTAAGGTTTTTGAAAAATAATTTCTTGAATATCTTGAATATCCTTAGAGTTATTTGCAGATTTGTAGATTTAACTCGAAAGCAGCGCCCCCATTGCGACGATGATAACAAGTTTTTTATATCTATTAATTTTCTTATCACTAAGTTTATTATCTTAAAGATTATTTATCAAAAGTAAGATTTTTTACCTATTAATTGCGCAAAAGTCAAAGTTAGTTTTATCATTTATCTACAACATATATATTGGGAGAATAGATAAAATGATTATTTTGTAATGTAGAAAATTAGGAAAGACAAAATTCAGGATGACAAGGCAATTTATTTGAGATAAGAATAACAATACAATTCCAAGGCTAGATACTATTCCTTTAACTTCCAATTACCGAGGGAACCAATTAATATTGATTTTATTCAACTTATCGAGTATTTTTCAAGGGACCGGGAAAAATGTTCACTTTATAGAGAGATTCAAATTTACGAGTTTCAAATTATCAAAATATATATATTAATTTTTTTTATAAGTTTATATAGAATTGTTTTAACAAATGTTCGTTAGACAAACCTTTACTCGGGTAAAACCCGGGCGAAGCCGGGTACATCCGCTAGTATCTTTTATATATTACACAACGCCCGGGTTATACCCGATTAAATGCTTTTATTCAAATACTATTCGTTACGATTATAAATTGGCGCCGTGGATGTCATTCTTGTGAAACGTCACGCTCCAAACTTTGTGTCTTAGAAACGATATTTTTATAAAGAGATAATCTGGCTTTGTGTCTTCTGCTCGAATGAATGTTTTTCTGTTAGAATTTTGTTCCTGCATAATAAAAATGAACTGGCTTCACACGTGGTCTCTGCTTTTTGGAATATATCAGGATATAATTTTGTATCTGATAATCAAATATGATACAGCAATATTATCATCATCATTTTCTGAATAAAAAACAACTATTTTTTTCCCAGAACCTGTCAATTTATTTTTCTTGACTAAAAATCCGAAAAATATATTTTCTAGATTTTTCTCTATGTCCTGTTAAAACACGTTTTGCATGTCCATTAGATCAGCTGATATTACCTCCAATCTTCACCGCTAGAGGCGCTGCTTGCGAGCGAAAGGGCAAATTTGCAACGCAATTTGCAAATAACTTGTATGCATACTTGTATACTTGTGTACATAAACCATAAATCTGTACATAGAGAGGAAAAGCACATATATTTTAATATTATAAATGAGTTTTAAAAAATGTAAAAAAAAATGCATCGGCCGGGAATCATACCCGAGGGCGCCCGCGTGGCAGGCGAGCCTTCTACCACTGAACCAAAAGCAAACGGTGACAGAATTGTTGATGACTCTGATACTTGTATATTTTAATGCATGATTTTGTCCACTTACACTTTTTTACCCGCAATCATATTTCTATATTTTTATTCACTATATTTTATTTTTTTTAAATACCTTTATTATATGACAATGTGTATCATCAACTATCGGGCATCTACAACAATCGTTTTCAACAATCATACTCTCTAACTACTTTCCTATACTTTTCATCACTATCTTTTCCAGCCATTGCTTCAGACCATCGTAGAAAAACGACATCACTGCTTGGCAATTTTTTTTTTCGTAATTTCAACTGTTGTATAGTTATTATTTAATTTATTAATTAAACATTACTCACCAGAGGAAAATATTTTATTACAATTATATATATTTAAAAGGTTACATTTATTTTATATCACAATTTTCTTTTTATTCGATTCCAATGTTTTTCGCTTCACGCGCTCTATGATGATGATATATTGTCTATATTTAAACACAGAATACTATATTCCCTCCTTCCTTTAGATGAAAGGAATCATGTATTTTTATCTTATTGATATGGCTTGACGACTCTTCCACTCCTGTTGATCACGGGTTCCTTGATAGTCGGCAAGGGTGAAGAAACCCCTGGTGGAAACTGGTGAAGAGTCTCGGCATCAAGTCTATCTGAAACAACTGGGTTAAATGTAGACCCTGTTCTACTTTAACTTGGTCGGTTTAAAGAAGTGTCCTTGTCTTGGTTCGAAGAATTATCATCTGGAATTTGTACATCAGAAGAGTTAGGGGGTTCAATTCTTGTTGAATCTGAACTAAGATTTTCCTGGCTCTCTTCTGGAATCAAGTCAGAAATGTCTTGATTGGTCTCTTGAGTAGGAACACGTTTCAAATGTTTAGCATTTCTATGAATTATTTTCCCATTTTTAGTGTTGACTAATTTGTGTAAGAATTTATTGAAGTGTTTTCAAGAATGACATGATGTTCTGATCTGAAATTTGAATCAAGTTTTCCATTATTTGGGTTTGCCACATAAACTAAATTTCCAATTTCAAAATTATGAGGACTAGCTTTCCGAATTATATCATTATATGTTTTCATTTTTTCTTTGTAGACCATATTGAATTCTTTGATGTTGGTTTCATCTTCTTCTGCATCATTAACCAGTGAACTTAATTTAGTTTTGATTTCTCTTGAAAATAATAGGAATGCTGGAGTCTTTCCTGTAGATCTGTTTGGAGTAGTTCGGTAAGACATTAAAATTCTGGATAAATCTTCTTTCCAATCTTTCCCTTCTTAAGAACTTGAATTAAATTGTTTCTTCAGAAATCTATGTAATCTTTCTATCTTCCCATTACTTTTTGGGTAATAGGGTGAGGTTTTGATGGTGAGGTTTTGGTGTGCCTGATTCCACATTATTTTAAAAATCTTTCCATTGATGTACTTATACACACACACAAACTGTAAGCCATTATCTTTTACAACTTCATGTGGATAACCATGTCTTGCAAAAATCTCCATCAATTTTTTAATAATTGTCTTGCTGGAAATGTCTTCTATTATCATTGCTTCAGGATATGAAGAATAGTAGTCGATCACTGTTAAAACATAATGATGGCCAATTGGACCAACTATGTCATTTACAAATTTCATCCAAGGTGTCGATGGTAATGGAACTATTTGCAATGGTTGATCATTTGTCAATAGTTGAATGCTTACACAAATTGGACAGTTTCTTATCAAATTTTCAATGTCAAAGTCCATGTTTATCCAAATATATTTTTCTCTTAACACTTGTTTGGTTCTTGTCATTTCTTGATGTGTTTCATGTGTTTAATTCTCAAAACTCTCTTTATTAGTTTTGAAGGTAGCAAAATTCTACTTCCTTTTAAGATAAGATTATCAAAAATTGAGAGTTTATCTTTAAACTTATAAAAACATTTGAATTATTCATTCAAAGGATATGGCCAAACTCCCTTTTGAACCATCTCTTTCAGTTTTTGAAACAAAGGATCTTGCTCTGTACAAACTTTTATCTTTTTCATAGACAGTGTTTGAAGCTCTTCAGAAATGATGGATAAGACTTTATGAACCTAGTCCTCCAGCCATTTTTCATCACTTGTGTAAGAAAGAGGTTGTCTTGAAAAAATATCTGCAATATTTTGCTTTCCTTCAATGAATTCAATCTCAAAGTCATATATGGTTGTAATCTCCAACTCAATCTTTGAATTATTGGAGGCAAAACAGCTCCATTTTTAGGATTCAGCATATAGATCAGAGGTTTGTGATCTGTTTTTAACACAAATTTCCTTCCCCAAATATAGGTGTTGAAATGTTCAATTGCCCATACACATCCCAATGTCTCTTTTTCTATTTGTGAATATATTTTTTCAAAATCAATTGAGGATCTGCTGGCTTATGCAATGGGTCTTTTAATGCCATTTGTTGTGTTTGTATTAATACTGCTCCAAGACCAATAGGGCTTGCATCTGTGATTAATTCAGTTGGTGAGTTCAAGTAGTAATATGCCAAGCATGGCTTTTTTGTTAGTGACTCTTTGAGATCCTGAAATGCTTTATTTGTTTTCAAATCCCAATTCCACCTAACATTTTTTCTAGTCAAATTATGTAGAGGTTCTGCCAATTTAGAAAAATTAGGTATGGATTTTCTTAAAAACCCACAAGTTCCTAAGAATGACCATAACATCTCAATAGTTTTTGGTATTGAAAAATTTAAGACTGCTTCTATTTTCTATTATCAGGTTTAATACCTTCACTACTAACAATGTGACATAAAATATCCTATTCTTCCATGGCAAATTTGCACTTATTCCTGTTGAGCCTATTGCCTACTTCATCAAATCTTTGTAAGACTTTTCTAGGCCTTTCTTCTAGTTCTCGTCTATCTTTGGCGTAAACTACGACATCGTCCAAGTAACAAATTACACCTTTCAAACAAGCAAAATTGAATCCATTCCTTTCTGATATGCCTCTGGAGCACTTGATAGACCAAAAGGAACTTTACAAAATCTGTAACAACCACGGTGTGCGTGATGAAAGATGTAAGGGGTCTTGATTGAGGGTGTAAGTCAACCAGCCAAAACCCTTTTTTTGCCTTCAGCTTTGCAAATACTTTAGCACCTTTAAGGGCATGTAACATATTATCAATTGTAGGAATTGGATGTCTTTCTCTCAATATTGCTTTATTCATTTCCCGAAGGTCTATGCATAGTCTAATTTCCTCACTATCCCTTTTTGGAACAACTATTATGTTAGAAACCCATTCAGAACCTTGATACACTTCTTCAATGATGAATTCTATAGCATCTTATCAAGCTCTTGATTTACTGCTTCTACCATTGCATAAGGTATGCGTCGGCATCTCTGAGCAATGGGCCTATAGTTGTCTTTTAATGTCACTTTATGACTATAGCCTTTAAAGTTCAAGTCCATGGAAAATATGTTCATATTCTTGAACAAGAGTTTCTATATTAATAGACATTGATTCAATTACATGATTTACCCTTTTAATTATACCTAGTTCAAAACAAGCCTTGCCTCCCAACAAAGATTCAACTTTTTTATGATTCACCTAAATTTCTTCTGTAATTGAATTTTCTTTCCAAGAAATCACAGCATTGAAATAACCATAACATGGAAGAGGTCTATCTTGACCATAGGTAAAAAAGGTTCGGGTGGTGTCATGTAATTTTGGCATAATTTTATGGCCATATAATTCAAGCATCTTATTATAGCTTATGAAAATTCTATCACTCCCTGTTTTAATTATCATATTTATTTCACTACCATATATTTGCACTTTTTCTTTATTTTCAGCACCTGTATAGTAGGTATATTCATCTGAACTTTCACCTACTTCAGTCTTATTTTCTTCTTGTATGGTCTTAACTTTAGTTTGATTGAAACTTTTGTAGTTTCTATTATTATTTTGATTTGGGCGGTTCCTGCAAGCTCTAAAAAGATGTCTTAATTTTTTGCAATATGAACAAGTCATTTTTTAGCACCACATTCTTGTGCTGAATGTGTATCTAATCCACAGCGATAACATTTAGGCTTTGAGGCACCTGAAAATGATGGGGTACCCTGATTAGTGAATCTACCTTTGTTGAAATTATAATCGAAATAGTGCTTTTTAAGTTTAATTTGAACTCTATTTAGTGTTTGATCATTTTGAGGTTCAAGAAGTCTAATTTATTTTCTAGAAATTTCTAACATTCTAGCAATATCAATGGTTTTTGACAGTGTCAAATTTTCAGGGTGCAACAATTTTTCTTTAAGTTTTTTGTTGTTACATTTTTCAATTATTTGGTCTCTTATTATATCAGCTTCTAAATTCCCAAATTCACAAGATTTAGAAAGCTCTCTTAAAGAAATTAGGTAGTTGTCGATCGATTCATCATTTTTCTGGACTCTGTCTAAATTTAAATCTCTCAGTGACCACATTTTTATGAGGTGTGAAATATTTATCTAAAGTCATTTTAGTTTGTTCATAATTTTCCTTTTCATCTGGCAAGTTGAAAAATATACGTTGTACATTTGGCCCTAAACAATGCAATAGAGTAGCTCTTTTAATTTCATCCGATTTTTTTGAAATTCCAGATGCTATTTCAAAAATGGAATAGGATTCCATCCTTTGCTTATATTCCGCAAATAAATTTCTAGCATTCATATTCATGGGTAAAGGTGGCGTCAGTTGGCTGCCATACTTTTTTTAGGGCTACAGTTGTATTTTCAAATTCTCGTCGCCAATTTATGTTGTATAGTTTTTATTTAATTTATTAATTAAACATTACTCACCAGATGAAATTATTTTATTAAAATTATATATATTTAAATGGTTACATTTATTTTATTTTACAATTTTCTTTTTATTCGAATCCAATGTTTTTCACTTCACGCGCTCTATGATGATGATATATTGTCTATATTTAAACACAGAATACTACATCAACAAACTCTTTGAACACAAAGTCTGAACACGCTTCAAGAAA